TACTCAAGAAATGCAACATATCCCCAGCTTGAAGGTAAAAGAGAAGGTCTATTATAATGCAAACATAATTGAGATCATCAGCTTCTTTTGCCTATAACCCTTTGTGGGGCAATAGTTTGTTGCATGTTTCCTTTGGCTATGTTGCAGTAATCTCTGATCTCCTCCTGTTTTCTGCTTTTGAATGACAAGGAATCTCTTGTTCCTATGCTGCAACTAGCTTCACTACTCTTTTGACTTTTCTCTTTTTACAGATTTATAGCCAAGATTCTTCTTCCGTGAAACTTGGCATTTTCTAATTAGTATTACCTGTCATTTGTCAGTGTTTCAGGATCTGATCATCTGAAAAATTAAGCATATATGGACATAATAGTGAGGTACTAGATGAATTATATTAACAACTGCAAAACCAGAATAATTTCATCTCAGACTCCAATCTTTTGACACATTTTTTTCTCATTTTTCACATGCATGGCTGATGGAGGGAGAGGAACAGATCTCTATATATCAAGCAGGCAGGGGTAGGGTCATAGCCATGATGCAGCCAGCAGTCATCGTACTCAGTACACAGAGAAATCCTATAGTTTGGCGCAGGAAAAATTAAATGTCTGAAACCTTGTCCTTGTCTTCTAACTTCCTATAGAAGTGGGGCAAACAACAGCAATTATATTCAGTTTAAGTTTTAACATTTTGTACATTTTCACATCACTGTTTTATCTGTTTGATAAGTGTATAGTCACTACTTAATACTTCTGGCCAAAGGGTCGAAACATTGTCCTTGGTTTCTAAGTTAGATCACGGATGTGTCGATGTCTTCAGCTTTTGACATTCTGTAGTTACACATCAATTTTTTTTAATCAATTTTGAAATTAAATGTTTAACATTTTATCCATAAATCACGCAGTTGATAAATATAGAGTAAGAATTCGTTGTCTCTTAAAAGGTTTTACATAATTTTATGACATTTTCTCACGGGAAGGGATATTTTTTAGTCATATATTTTAGAATGAATCCTGGAAGATAAATTGATTAGTAGATATATATTTCCAATTATTTGAAACTTTAACAATTAACTAATATGTTGACCTGCTGCTATGTTATGTTTTCTGTATTACTGTGACAGCAATAAGGTTTGAGGACTTTAATGCTATTGTAGCAAATGAAAATCAACTAAATTGTTGAGGAAAATGGATTATAAAACTGGGAATTGCCCTTCTTGATCCTAAGTGTAATCATACTCCCAATCACCCTCCAGGTACTTAAGCTCATCGACCATGCCTTACCTAAAAAAGGCAATGAAACTACTGTGACAGATCACAGATTAGGGCTTTGGAACTGTTATTGTAGTGGTGATCATAGCTAGCCTGCAACCAACAATGTTTTCAGGGGTTGGCTTGGCTTGGTTTGGTTCTGATTCAATAACCATTTCAGCTGGTAGAGGAATTTTTCTGTGATATAATGTAAACACACTTAGGAACACTCCTCTGCCAGCTATATAGCCTTGGTAGGCTTTGTACCTGCCATTCCAACTAACACAAAACTGATCAAAGCTGCAATATTTGTGATCTGGAAAGAAAAAGATGTTTCTTGGCATATTATTCCTATTATTTCAATGCATGGTAACCCTTATCTGAATGTGTTATTTTAATTTAGTGATAGTAAAGTCAATCTTATTCATGACAATAAAGCTTACCAAAAAAATCTAATCCATGAAAAAGATGCTTTACTTAAAGCCATTGGTTACGTTAGTTTCTCAATAATATATACATTTGTTTGCGCCGAAAATGGATCGGGAGACAAGCATCTGAAAGACAAAGGAAGACGTCAAGAGAGGCCAGACGTGACTCCGGCATTTGCTCTCCAGGAGCTTTGGTTCATGTATCAGGCGGAAAGGTGGGAGACTTAAACATTACTCTCTTTCTGGCCAATAGGGATCAGACACCTAATCAAATGCAGTTTCTATAGTGAAACTTTTACCAACCTTTTTTGTATGCTGAACCCATCAACCAAAGCAAGTTTGTCTTGGGATATGACATGAATTTAACAAGTTCTGAAAGTTACATTAACTTGTTTCAGTACTGAATGTGTGATGCTAGCTTATTAGTGTTGTAAAGGTTTTTTGGTAAGGAGTGGAAGCATTGCAAAGCAGTAAAAGGGAATACATCGGGAGATGACAAAGAGCAAGACTGAAACAGACCCTGAAATAGTGCAATGAAAGACGGTGGTAGACGTTGAACAGAAAATTGCAAGCTGTTAGTAGAATTTTGCAGAAAGGATACAAGTTAATATGGATTTCTATTACTGAGAAGTAAATTTACTTGAAAAAGTAATTGACTAACATCCAGGGCTGAAGCCCCTCTAGCAGCATTGCTTTACCGAGAAAGTTTTTCAATTAGGCTCTTGATTTAGTCAACAATATCATACACTATCGATCCACACAGGAAAGTGAACTAAAAGTACTGCAAATTCTTTAATTTTAGAAAGAAATTGATCAATCTCTCAAAAGAAAACCAATACAACATATCAGAAAACCAGATAACATATATTAAATCTGATCAATCTCTCAAAAGAAAACATCATGACATTAAACAAATAAGTCAGCTACTCTCAATTTTCCACTCCAAGTTTTGCATGGTAGACAAACAAAAAAAAAAAAAAAAAGAGATGGATTCAACAGACTAGAGAGAAATGAGGCCTTCTCTTACAAGCAGGCCAAATATGAGAACAAGATCAACAGTGACACATTTAGTTGAGAAGATGAAAGCCTGTGAATATGCAGATAAGGTGATCGCTGCTCCAACCAATCCAATCAACAAAGGGCTCAAGTTCGATGAATTTTTTTTTATTTAATTCGAATTAAATTTAAATATTAAATGTATATATTAAATTTGAATTAAATTTAAAAAAAATTAAAAATTAAAAAATTAAACTGAATTGAATTATATATTTTTATAAATATTTATATATATTAAAATTTTTATAAAATAAAAATAATAAATTTATGTAAAAATTTATTTAAATTTATAAAAAATTATTTTAAATTAATATATAAAAATTTAAATTTAAAAATCGATAAACCAATTAAATCAATAAAATCTAATTTAATTTTAATTAAATAATATAAAATTTAATTCAAATTCAAATTAAAATTTAAAATTTTAAAATATTATATAATATTAAAAATAAAAATAAATTAAATTCGATTTGACACAAATCGTTCCATCTCCTCCTACCGGTAAAGTTTTGGTCCTTCAAACCGGTCTATGATTTTGGGCCAATCCCTGATATCAAAAGCCACCCTTTTTGGGGATATGGTTTTTATTGTCTTTATTTCAAACATCAAGACAATTTTATTAATGATACATCCGCTTTATTAAAAGTACAATCTTGTCACATAACCAACTCTTGTTTTTATTTTTATTTTTTTGGTTATGGAAACTGTTTTCTCCGGCCTGAAATTGCATTACTCTTCCTTGCCTTGGGGCAATTAGATGAAAAACCATTTCATGGGTTATCAACACAAAGCAAGTTACCAAAGATAATAATCCCACCAAACTTGCTCCTCCCATTTCCATTTGTTAAGAATAAAAAAAAAAAAAATTTAATTTCACTGACAGATGGATGAAGTGATTAGCAAAAACAATATTTAGTCAAAACTCAAAAGTGTATTTAGTTAGGGCAAAAGCTAAAAGAGATGTTGATATAATTATTGTAATTAGGGATTACAATATATCACCATATTTTTAGCTTAATTTTCTTTGAAAATCTATATATATATATGTATATATATATATAGATAAATAGAATGTCACAATTAAAATTTTTAAATGATGAATTAAATCGTATACATATAAATATATGTATATATTATTAATATTCGCGTGAGACATACGAACATGTATTTATATATATATATAATATAATATTAAAGTTATCTTATGAGAAATTAAAGTTTAATTTTTAACCATCTAAGTTGTGTCATAAATAATGATTTGATGGATGAATTTGACTTTTAACTTATAAATTTAGCTTAATTGAGATATTTAATCATAATTTTATGGTTGATTTGAACTTTTTCGAAAAACTCTAAGTAAGTTATTTATGATTTTGAGTAATGTTTTTGTGATTAATTTAAGATATTAATTTTTGTTTTGGGAGGTTAAGCTAGTAAACATTAAATTTAAATTCTTATATTATTTTTAATTAAGGTCTCAATTTAAAAAAATCAAATTATTAAACCTTTAATCAAGTGAAGCCTTTTCAAACAAATATAAATTATATTAAAGTTATCCCTATGAGAAAGTGGGGCTTAATATTTTGTCACCTAAGTTGTGCCATAAATAATGATTTGATGGGTGAATTTAACTTTTAATTTAAGAGTTTAGGTTAATTGAGATATTTAGTCATAGTTTTAGGATTGGTTTATATATATTAAGTACATAAAATGAATTTCAATATATTTTTTTTCCTTTGTAACATATGTCTTTATATTGTTATATCTCATATGAAAAAGTTTTAATAACTTTAATTTAAACTTGAAAATATTTTTGATGCTATTCAAAATAAATTTAATAACATTAAAAATTTTCAAATAAAAGTTGAAGACAAAAAAGATTTTGGGGGGATTCATTAATTTTAGAGATATATCTAACATAAAATGCATAACTTACCATATATATAAACCTTTTTACCTTTGAAGTTTTGTGTATGAATGAAATTTATCAAATTATTTTTAAAAATAAAATAAAGAACAATTAATTAATGAATTAATTTTATAAATTAAAATTTATTATTTATAATTTAAAATTTTTAATATTTTAAAATAATCATTTTTATTTTATTATTACTATTATTTATATTATTTTTATATAGTATTTAATTTAAAAAAAAACTCTTTTTTTTAAATCTCCACCCAAAAACGAGGAATCATTTATTCAAAATTGTAAATAAAATAAATAAAATTAAATAAAATCACTTCCATTTCTCAACCAGTAAAACGACATGTCGTTTTTAGTCTGAAAACCCCAGCGCAAAAATGACTCCTATTCCTACATTCAATTACCAACTGGTTTTCAAGCAATGAAGCCATTGACAAATGAGAGCAAGATCATCAAGCTTCACCCTTCTCTTCAGCAACATCCTCCAAACTCTCTCCATTTCCAGCCCCAACAAGCCACATCTCAAAAAGGTAACATTTTTACTTTCTCCTCTCTCTACAAAGCACAACTTTACTTCTGTTTCTGATCAAATAAAAGAAACCCAGATTAATTCATCTTCCATTGACTCTTCTGGTATTGCAAGATCTATAATTTTGAGGTGTCCACAGCTTTCTGCCAAGAAAGGTAGGACTTTTAGGAATGCTTCTCTTAAAGAACTTATGTTGGACATATCTGATGTAATACCAGAAACTGCAAGAAAATTTAGGAGAGTTTCTGTGTTGAAAGCCGAAGATGTGCTTGAAATATTGCTGGGTTTTGAGTTTGAGAGTGGGAAGTGTTCATTTGGGGTTAGAAAGGTGGGCGCTCTATGGGAAATTTTCAAGTGGGCTAGTGAAAAAGTTAAGGGTTTTAAGCATCTTCCAAGGTCATGTGAAGTTATGGCGTCGATGCTTATTGAAGAAAGAATGTTTAAAGAAGCTGAATTGTTGGTTTTGGAGGTGGAGAGGGAAGGAATTTTAGTAGATATTCATGGAATTTTCTGTAGTTTAATCGAAGGTTATGTTGGTGTTAGTGATCTAGAAAGTGCCATTTCGGTTTTTGATAAAATGAGAAAGCAAGGATTAGTCCCATCATTGTCATGTTATCGTGCTTTTATTGACATTTTAATTGCAAGGAAGAGAACTCAATTAGCATTCCGGGTTTACTTGGACATGGTGGAAATGGATGTTTGTTTGAGTGATGAGGAGATGCCTGTTTTTGAGAATGTTATTAGATTACTTTGTGAGGATGGGAGGATTCAGGAAGCCAGATATCTATTGAAGAAGATTTTGTTGGGATTTAAACCTAGCAGTTTAGTTATTAATGAGATTGCGTGTGCATATTGTGAGAAGAAAGATTTTGAAGATTTGCTGAGGTTTTTGGTTGAATGGAAGCGGTTTCCTGATGTTATTGTTGGAAATAAGATAATACATACTCTTTGCGGCAATTTTGGTGTAGAAAGAGGAGATTTATTCCTGCAGGAACTGGAACTTTTGGGTTTCAGGCCTAATGAAATAACCTTTGGGATCTTGATTGGTTGGAGTTGCTATGAAGGGGATTTGCGAAGTGCCTTTGTTTATCTGTCTCAGATTTTGTCAAGAGGCTTTAAACCTGATTTATGGTCCTACAATTCTCTTATCAGTGGGGTGTTTAAAGAGGGCATGTGGAAGCACGCCAAAGATATTCTCGAAGAAATGGTGGATGGCAGCACATGTCCAAATTTATATACTTATAAAGTACTTTTAGCCGGGTATTGTAAAGCAAGAAGATTTGATGAAGCCAAAAAGATAGTTAGCCAGATGGTGAACGATGGTTTAATTGAACTTTCTTCCTTGGAGGATCCACTTTCCAAAGCATTTGTAGTGTTGGGACTTGATCCATTAGCTATAAGGTTGAGAAGGGATAATGATGTGGGATTCTCCATGGCCGAATTCTTTGATGATCTTGGAAACGGACTTTATTTGGATACAGACTTGGATGAATATGAGAAAAAAGTAAGCAAGGTTCTTGAGGATTCTACAATGCCTGATTTTAATTCTCTTATAATGAATGAATATAGTTCTGGCAATTTCAAAAATGCTTTTAGACTTGTAGATGAAATGATTCTATGGGGACAAGAAATGTCTATTTCTGTCCTTTCAGCCTCTTTGAAGGGGCTTGGTACATCTCTTTCTCATAGCAAGGCAGTTGTCTGTCTTTTCGAAAAAATGCCCAAGTTGGTTAATCAGTTAGACCAAGAGGTGTTAAATATGCTCATCCAAGCATTCTGCAAGACTGGGCTAGCTTACAAAGGGATGAGTTTATTTTTTCAAATGCTCCAGAGGGGCTTAATAGTCAACAGTGAGACTTACACTGCTGTAATGAAGGGATTATGTAAGAGAGGAATCTTGAGTGACCTTTATGGTTGCTGGGATGTTGCTCGAATTAACAAATGGTTACCAGCATTGGAGGATTGCAATGCTCTTTTAAAATGTCTTTGTCATCAGGGCATGCTGAAGGAGGCACTGGAACTTTTTGATGGCATGCTGGTCTCCAACCCTCAAATGAAGCTGGAACTTTGTAATATATTCCTGGAGAATTTGTGCATTTCTGGTTTTGTAAGCATTGCGCATGAGATGGTAGAAGAACTTCTAAGTCGGGGTTGGATTTTGGATCGTGTGGCTTATAGTCATCTTGTAAGAGGGCTGTGTGCTGAGAAAAAATTTTCAGGTGCAATTAGAGTTTTGGACAGTATGCTGGCTAAGGACTTGGTCCCGTGCTTGGATGTTTCTTTGACATTAATTCCTCACTTGTGTAGGGCTGACAAATTTGAAGCGGCTATCACATTGGGAAAGATTAGTTTGGGAGAGCAATCTGCATTTTCTTCTGTCCAGAGGGCTTTACTTAAAGGATTTTGTATGAAAGGGAAGATTGGAGAAGCAGGACATCTGTTTCAAGATATATCAAAGTGTCTGCTTCTTGATGATAATATTTATAATATGCTGGTTCAAGGGTGTTGCCAGGCTAACAATTTGAGGTTATCCGAGGAGCTACTTGGTGTCATGATAAGGAAAAATATATGCCTTTCAATCCCCAGTTATCGAAGTTGGGTGTGCATGATGTGTTCTGCTGGCAGGTATCTCTCTGCATTAAGCCTGAAGGAGTTTATGCTAGGACAAAGCCAATCGGACAGCCTTCTCATTTATAATATTCTTTTATTCTATCTTCTGTCAGCTGGAAATATTTTGGCTGTGAATAAGGTTTTAAATGAATTGCAATGGAAGGGATTGCGACCTAATGAAGCTACTTATGACTTTCTTGTGTATGGATTTTCCAAGTGCAAAGAGGTGTTGAGTGCTGTGCACTATTTGTTTACTATGATTTGCAAGGGACTAAGACCAAGCAGTCGCAGCTTGAGAATAGTAATAAGTCACCTGTGTGATCTTGGGGATCTTGAAAAAGCCTTGGAGTTGAGTCGAGAAATGGAATCGAGAGGCTGGATTCATGGTTCAGTTGTTCAACACAGAATTGTTGGTGATCTCTTGTCTCATGGTAAACCTAAAGAGGCGGAAAGTTTTCTGGAAAGGATGGTAGATAAAGGTCTTATACCAAATACAATCAATTATGATAATCTCATTAAGCAGTTTTGTTTTTATGGCAGGCTGAACAAGGCAGTTGATCTTCTGAACATAATGTTGAAGAGGGGAAATCTTCCCGATTCCACCAGTTATGATTCTGTTATCCATGTTTTTTGTGCATGCAACAAATTGAACCGAGCTATGGACTTCCATAATGAGATGCTGGATTGGGATCTTAAGCCAAGTATTAACACATGGGACATGCTTGTCTGTAAAATTTCCCAAGACGGACGTACTGCAGAAGCAGAAAGGCTTCTGATATCTATGGTTCAGTTAGGCCAAACTCCAACCAAAGAGATGTACACCTCTGTAATTGATAGGTATCGCTCCGAAAACAATCTCAAGAAAGCATCAGAGCTAATGCAAATGATGCAACAAAGCGGCTATCAGCCAGACTTTGACTCACACTGGTCTCTTATAAGCAATTTAAGCAATTCCAGGGACAATAACAACAGCAGCCAGGGTTTTCTATCAAGGCTTCTCTCTGGAAGTGGATTTACATGGAAGAATCGTTTCAAAACCGGACAACAATAAGGCCGCAAAATAAAAATTGCTTTTGTAAATTAACAAATCGATCGTTTTGTACCAATGTAAATGAAAGGTTTGTACCTTTGCTTACACAGTAGTTCCTGGTTTGGTTATTTTAAACTTACTTATATATAACACCTTGAAGTTTTGAAGTACCCAAATGAGACAAAAAAAAATTTCCTATAGATATTCATTTTACCTTTGCCTATACTCACTGTGATATTTCAATCTTATATCAGGATATTTTGAGGATATGTTATAATATATATGTAAAGACTTAAACTCGTATTTGTAAGGCATTGTTTATGAGATAAAATTATGAGACCTTTGAAGCAAAGCGGATAGTACTTTGTAAGTTGATGTGGGTTTTTATAAATAGTATCAGAATGATCATCAATCGAACGTGAGTTAAATATTACATCATGAAAATCATCTATAGAATTTGGTGTGATCTTGATTTGTGGTTTTGTATGTGTTTTATATTAAATTTAACGGAAATGTTAAATTTTAACGAAGAGAGAATTTGTGATATCTCAATCACACATTGAAATATTTTGAAGATATGATATAATATATATGTAAAAACTTAAACTTATAAAATACTTTTTATGAAATAAAACCATAAAAACTTCATTACCTAGTAAATTGGTTACGGTCCCTGTATTCCATTCTTCTTCAACGTGCTTCATTGAGCATTTGAAATTCCTAGTTCAGTCTATCCATCACCACATTCAGTTTCATATGTAAATGGCGAGGAAAAAGAGTATATAACTGCTAGAGTTTCTGTAGTCATATACATTCCTATGTTATTGGATTTTTTGTCTGGTTTTGTGCCTAAAATAAAGAAGTCCAACAAAAGAAAATGTTGGTTTACCCATTCCTCGGATTGATCTTGTGAAGTGGGATGCTGACAGTTGTTGTTAGTACAGAGTTTAAATTTTAGTTTTAAAGAGGAATTTAAATTTTAATAATATCAAGTGCATAAAAAAATTTATTTTTAATTTTAATAAATAAAATTCAAATTCGAACAATATCAAATATATAAAAAAAAATCTTGTGAAGTGGGCTTTAGTTGGCTAACTTAAGCTTCCTTAGACTAACCTTTTTGTTGCTCTATTATTCAACTTAGTCCAAGTTAAAGACCTCCCCTCGAAGGACACTCCCTCAGCTTATACCTCCCTCTGTTATGCTTCAAGCAGATCCTTTTAATTGGCGTAACAAAATTAAAGTGAATCTTTAATTTAATTATCTTATCTAATCTCATTTTAAGAAGTGGATTGGCTCATCAATACCAACTGATCAACACCCCTCACTCTCGCATTGCTGGAGAATTTAGATTCAACTGCTCCAAAGACCCTGCAGGGTTATTCCCCTCTCTCCCCATCCATGGAGCAAGGTTCGATTCTTTTGATGTTTTTCTTCTTATCTTTACCATTTTTGTCGAAGTCTTCTAGTCTTTTCCATTTAGAGCAAATGGTTTTGGTTGAGTTTTGATAGAGGCAACGACCTCACAATTTGATATTAAATACATAAATATCAGAGCTACTGCAACATGTGTTGCTTAAAAAAATCCTCCCCTTTAGCTTTAGTAAGTATGGTCATGTTCCAAACAATAACATCTCACATGGCTCCAGCCTTGATGATGACACCACTTTTATCAGAACTAATTCTCGACTATTTTGCACGGTGCTGCTGCGTTTTCATGTCATTCATGTATAAATACCATAACACATGTCCATATTAATCAGCTTTATTTACTTACAACTCAAAAATACTTTGAAATCCCAAAGTTGGCAGCTAGTTATTTCCAAGAAAAAAAAATGAAGGCAGGAGCCATTGAGCCTGGAGAGGGGGGGAAGAGTAGTTCTACCTCAAGAGGTGGAGTGAATAAAGGTGTATCTGTACTGGACTTCATTTTCAGGATACTGGCATTCATTGGTACCTAGGGAGTGCAATTGCCATGGTGACAACTAACGAAACACTACCATTCTTTACGCGGTTTATTCGGTTCAGGGCTAAGTATGATGACCTACCAACGTTCACGTAGGTTTTCTTTCATCAACACATGTTTGATCATATATATTTATGTTGGAAATATAATATTAAACTTCAGCCTCTCTTATGACAGTTTCTTTGTGGTTGCCAATGCCATTGTAAGCGGCTATCTGCTGTTTTCTCTCCCTTTCTCAATCTTCCACATCGTAAGGAGTAGTGCGAAAACGACTAGGATGATCTTGATGTTCTTTGACATGGTAGTAATTAAAACAGTTCTACATGAAAGTATAGAATTTGAGTTTGAACAACTGAAGTTGAATACCATAGTTCTAACGGAAAGAATTTTGCTGTTATGCAGGCTATGCTGACTCTTTTGACAGCAGGAGCTTCTGCAGCAGCAGCTATTGTGTACTTAGCACACAAGGGAAATACCAAGGTAAATTGGCTTGCCATCTGCCAACAGTTCAACTCCTTCTGCCAGCGCACCTCTGGCTCTTTGATTGGATCCTTTTCAGCGATCGTCCTCCTTGCACTTCTGATTATGTTATCAGGTTTTGCCCTTGCTCGACGTCCTTAGATCACTGTACACTTTGATGGTGCCCTTACTTGGCTAGAATATGCATACGTTTGTTTTCTGTTGTCTTCTGTTTGCAAGAGAGTAAGTGTGAATGAATGTGATCTGTGCATCATCTTATCTGTAACCTTCGGTTGTCTTGGTTTTACATGCAAATTATATTGAATCAAATTGCTTGTTATTAAAATCTTTTTAAGCATTCTGGATTGCTCAATCGTTTTGCTCCACTACAGAACATAAGAATATTGTGAGGAGATAGCAATCTTGAAATAGGAAAGACAATTATAAGTATTGTAATTTAAAATTTAAATCCGATATATATCATAATAATTATATAAATTAATTGAATTAAATTTTGAATTTATCGTAAAAGCACATCTATGATAGAATCCGGACTATATATCTTCCTTTCCAACAAATTGTACAATACTTTCTAATTGTTCCATGAAGCAATGACATAGAAAAAAGGCAAGGAGGCTCTCGGAGACAAACCAACCCAGAAATTTGAATGAAGAAAAATAAAAGGGAATTAAAGCAAATAAAACAAGATAAGCTGATCAGCTATAAGCACATATAATCTATAATGACCATGACCAATCATGCTTTTTCAGGGTTTCTGACATCTGAGCTGGATAATTACAAAAAGTTAATTACATGTTTTATTTAAATTTTGAAAAATATACAAATTGATAATTAAAAAAATAAATGCATAAATTATATCTTGAATTTTTATTTATGTAATATTTGATAAATATTATCAAATTATATATTTATCACATTTGTTATCAATATCTTCTTTAATATAAATTAAAAAATATATATTTTATTTACCCATACTGAAAAAATATTTGTTCATGATCAGTGAATTATTGTTTGTTATGTGATATTAACGTAAAATTTTTATAAAATATTTAATATTTTTATTTAATAAATAAAAAATATATACTAAAGTTATATAGGTTAGATATTAAATATTTAAATTAAGTTAGTACTATTAAAATTTAAATTAAAATAATATATTATTATAAATATTTAAGTATAAATTATATATATTTTTTAAATATCAATTTTTAAATTTTTTTAAAATTCAAATATAAAAAATATAATTAACCATATTGTAAAGCAGAATTAGGATCGGTAATTTAATCCATTCTCGATGAGTTTCGATACCATCCGATCCTATAGGGTTGATTTTTTTTTTTTTAAATTCGAATTTCGAGTCGAATCGGTAAGATTATGAAATAATCGGGGGTCAAGTTTTAAGTAAATCCGATCCAATTCGATCCGATATTATATAAAAAATTATTTTTTAATTAATTATTTAATTTTATTTTTATATATTTATATATTAATATTTTTAATTATTTAAATTTAAAAAATAATATTTTATTAATTTCGATTCGAATCGAATCAAATACGATTTATATAATATCTGATCGAGATGAGATTTGAATATAAAAAAAAATTTTAAATAAAATTAAATTTAAATTTAATAACACATAAAATTAAATCAAATTTAAAACGAACAAAATTTATCTCAAATTGGATCCGATGAAAACTCTAAGCATAATATACTCTTGACCTGGTCGTCGTAAAATGCACGCCTCCCCAACTCAACATTTCCATGAATTTTACAATCTGAAATTTTTGATAAAGTGGAAATTATTTTTGTATGATCATTTCAATCAATCAATTCCATCATATCAAAAAAGCCAAGAGTACAAGGATGCCAATTGACTATAAATCTTATCGCAGATTAAGACCTTGTGTCACGATGGCTTTTTTTTTTTTGTCTTTATAAATATTTATTTGAATAAATCATAAAAATTTTAGAAATTTATATTTTTTTTTTTGGAAAATTTGGAATAATTCATAAATTTATTTAATATTTTAGCTTTTTTTATTCTGAAAAATAACCTTTTCAATTTTTGTTTTAACAATAATTTTCCCTTTTAGACTACTTAGCTTCTAAAAGGAGTTGAGTAATAATTTATCAAATAAAAAATCTTTTTAAAAATCAATAGTCACATAATTTATTAATAAAATATTAAAATTTTAATTTTAATAATTTAAAATTAAATTCACTTCAAATATAAAAATTTTAAATTTTAAATTCAAATTTTAATTCATTTAATTTTTATAATTATCTTTAAAGAATTACATGTAATATAAGAAATTCTTGTTAACTTTTCTTTCATTCTACATTGAGATTTTTTTATAAAAAAAAATAATGGCCACATATTAGGCCCCCATTGATGGAAGCTTGGAAGAGAGACAAAGTCAAACTTCCAAGTCTAAGATTTTAGACTCTAGAGCCCTATAAAATTACAATCAAACTAGGCCCAATGAAAATATTCATTCAAAGATATAGAAAGCACTTATGCTTCATACCCATAATTATGTCTGCTGAAACTTGAAAGGTTTGATCTTTGGAACATGTTATTATTATAATAAATAAAATCATAACCAAATGCCAACCTTTTAACTGCAATATATCCTATTATTATTAGAATATTATTTAAAACCTATTCGTAGCTCAACTTTTCATTTGTTGGAAGAAAGTTTGATCAAAAACAATCTAGAAACCCTAATCCTATCAACGCCATTCACATTGCAATTAAACAAATGATCAAATCATTATTATAAAAAATTAAAAAAAAAACAAAGGAATTGGGTTGTTATTAAATAAACCAACCAAGATCTGCCATACTTCTTTACTTGGTTGCAACTTCCACCTTCTGGGTTTTTTTTTTTTTTGGAATTCTTACGCCTTGTTACATCCTTCATAAATAAATTTAATAAAATTATATTCACAGTTAGTTGGTAAATAAAATACTAGCTCCTACTCGTAGTACCAACAAAAAATTTAATGATATTAAAAATTAATTATTTATATTATCCTTTTTAGAGATTGATCTTCCTAATTGGTTTTTGCATTGACTTAGACAATACAATATAAATGTATTGGCATATTCTTCAGCAAAATGAAAAGTGAGGTCATTGCTTTCTCTGGTTTTAAATTAGTACTGTTTCAGCCATGATGCTACCATTTTTTAATCATATAATTATTTAGACTCAGATGTTTTTATGTATTGCTATTGTTAGATTATAAAATGCTAATCACTCTATTAATTTGCTTCATTTCCGCCAAACATAAGAATAAAGTTAGATAGAATCCTTCTCCCCTTTTTTTTTAATAAAAAATTATAGTTCGGGTATAAAAAAAATAGATTATAAATATTAAATTTTTAAATTTTTAAATATTATTTTTTAAAAATAATTATATAAATTAGTTCGTCATTGTGTACATTTATTAATTAATTTTTTTTAATTTTAACTTAATAAGTGAAATTTAAATAAAAAATCCACTGATAATTTTCATTCAAAATTATTTAAGATTATTCAACAAGTGTAATGCTTGTTAATCACATAATAATTAAAATGCTTATCCTTCTATACAACTTGTGGACGAAAAAGAATCCATTTTTGAATAACCATTGCCAATATTGTCAAAGTCAAGGGCAAGCTGCATTGTTGATAAGACTTAGATAATATAGGGTAGCCTAACCCTAAGAATTAAGACATTGGTTTGGCTTAACACTTTTCCACCAAACATGTTTTGCCACGTGTTCTGTAACGGCCGAAACTCATGTCGGAACAGGGGTAGCAGGGGCCCACAAAGCCAGCTCAGCACTGAGGTTAAATTGTCAAACCTCCATTTAAAATTTGGGTTTGGTATTTGCTTTCTCACTGGCCAATCAAGACTTCCCACGTGTATTTATTTTGGGTAATTCTATGTCGGCAGTGGCAGCACTGTCCACATTCCTTTTCTCTGTGGCAGTGGCCGATTTCAAACTTTGAAGGCCTGATAAAATCTTAGCCGTTGGATCTAGCAAGTTCCCCAGATGGATGAAATTCCTCAAAATAGCCAATCCTGTGACACGCGCACTGTCAAATAATTTAATTTTTTTCCCGGAAAGGAATTAAAGTTTGTCCTTTTATGTAAAAAAAGAAAATTATTAAAACATAAAACAATGTCTCTTTCTTGTTATTTTTCCGCTTCCTAGAATGTCCTTGTCAATTTTATTTTTACAAAAATAACACAAGGGTATTTTAGTCTTTTAGCATTCTTTTGGAAATAGTTAGGTAATAAGCATATGATTTATCATATGATTTAAAAAATGCCCAAAAAATATCATATGATTTAAAAGGATCTCAACTTCAAAATAATCAATGAAAGTTCACATTAAAAACACATAAAATTTGAAAATAATATTTTCAATAATTGAAAAAAAAAAACTCGAATTTCTAATTTTGTTTTACATTGATAATGTCTTTGGTTAATAAAATGCTAACAAAGTTTCTACTAAAAAAGTTTAATCACTTGGCAAATGATAATAAAATGATGGTTCTCCTTTCAATGTATGGAATAATTTTGGGAACATGATATGAAATTAATCATGCAAATATATATATAATCAATGTATCTCCAAATTTTAATTGGATATAATCATTTTTTCGAACAATTTTATTAAAATAATCCTCTCACATCGGTATGATATATTCAAAATTTTATACTCGATTAATATTTTTTCCATAAAAATCGAATTTTAATTGACAAAAAATAAATTGTGTCATATATCAAACATTGTTTGATTGTATCTTGGAACAGTGCTATTGCCATCAAAAAAAGAATAGAAACAACAAAATTTTCAAACTGTTTGGTTATAAGAACTAAAATTCAATTTGTTTGGTTCATTCATGACAATTGCCACAAAAAATGCCCAAACCTAATTATTGACTGTAAAAAAAAGGTAAGTACATTTGTTTCGACCCAACGTGCATGCTTTTTTATTTGATGCATTATCAGTTTCGTGTGAACAAAACTTTTATAGATAATTTTATATCTGACATTGTTTTTGTCCTTTTGTCTAACAAAAACAAAGCTCTTTCACATGGAAATTACTAATCAAATTTTGGTTATGTTAGATGTGTTGTGATAGATATCCCTTACAAGTAAATATCACGTTCATATCATCCTAGGGAAGTAAAGGTTTTTCTCAAATGTTAGCCCATCCAAGTGACAAATAAATTGAAAATATGGAGGTTGGCATTTTTATCCCCCATGAAACTCATTTTCATCAAGTCTAAGCAAGTTTATAGTTCGACTTAGCAATCTCAAACATAATACAGTAACATCATATGAAAATAATTCGAATAAAAAATACGAAAATAACACAGTTTAAATTTTTAACAAAAATTATAAATAAATTTAATAAAATAAATATATATATAATATTTTTGTATTGATACAAATCGTGACACATTATTTTCGTATAAAACATCACATAAATGCATAAATTATCAATATTTTATACTATATAAATATATGAATTATCAAATCTATTTATAATAATATTCTATAGAAAATATAGTTAAACTTTAGATTTACATATTAATTTGGGAAGAGATTCAAAATTTATTTGAGTGCTAATTTTATATATAGTCAAATTTATAATTTTTATTTAAGGTGACAGATTACATTTATTATCAATATTTGAATGGGTGTAAGTTTTATCAATATTTTTTTAATTTGATTCAAAATTAATTAAAAATTAATGACAAAAAAGCATTATGTAAGAAAAATAAAAGAATATTTTACAAAATACTCTAAACTTTTGATTATTTTTGAATCAAATTAGAAAGTGCATGATAAAATTACATCAGTTCAACAAATAACACTTGAGCCGAATTCCTATCCCCTCCCTAAATTTAAAAAAAAAAAAAAAAAAACTGAAAAAAAAAAAACAAAATTGAAGTACTAAAATTTGGAAGTAGGGACAACATGATAATCTTGACTAGTAGATAGAACACCTTTTCTTGATTTTTGATAGATGGGATGGGGCTTTGGTGATCTTTTCATGCAAGTAGACAATTAATTCACAGAAATCACAATAAGCTAAGGGAATTTTGGTTTTTTTTTTATGATTATATTTTTAATATAAATAAAATTTTAATTTAAAATATTGACATTTAAATTTTAGATTAATTAAATATCATTTTTTTATGAAACCAAATGGTTATAATTAAATATGCTACAATTGTAAAAAAAAAAAAAAAGGCAACACTGTTATCAGGTTTATGTGCAGGAAATGTAACTGATATTCATGTTTTTGGTCAAAATGAAGAAAAATTATTATAACATAAAAGTTAAAAGGAGAGAGCTGAAAGCTTGAAATTATCCACCTAGTGCCTTATAATCCACGCTTCTTTTCTCCCGTCCAAGAACCAGTATTTAGGGGCTTCAGTTCTTCACCACTACCACCTTTCCCAGTGCAAGCTTTCTGTAGACTGTACAAATAATACTATCTTCATCTCTTTTTCTCTTCCTTTAGCCAATTTCTTGCTTCCTTTTTGGCCTTTGAATTTGCCTTTTAGATTGGGTTTTCATTGTTTTCTTCTTGTGATAAGGATTGGGTTATCTTTGGTTTCTTCCTCTAGTAGTTTTACCATTCAAGGTTTTTAAAGTTAGTTTGTAGTTTGGGTTGTTGAATTAGAGTTATAGAAGGAGGATTTTGGAATGGAAAACATTTCTAGCTTTAGAAATGAAGTTGAAGAGATGGAGTTGCCTCCAGGATTTCGATTCCACCCCACCGATGAAGAGTTGATAACTCACTATCTTTCCAACAAGGTTCTGAATAGCTGCTTCTGTGCTATAGCCATTGGTGAGGTTGACTTGAACAAGTGTGAGCCTTGGGATTTGCCTAGTAAGTGTCCCAACTTTTTATTCTCTCTGTTTTCCTCTGTTCAACAAGGTGATTTATAATTTAGAATCTATTCTAACTTTATGCTATGTGTCTGTTCAAATGAAGGGAGAGCCAAAATGGGTGAAAAAGAATGGTATTTTTTCTGTGTTAGGGATAGAAAATACCCTACTGGTTTGAGAACAAACAGGGCTACCGAAGCCGGTTATTGGAAAGCCACAGGCAAAGATAGAGAGATTTTCAAGGCTAAAACACTTGTTGGAATGAAGAAAACTTTGGTTTTCTACAAAGGGAGAGCACCCAAAGGAGGAAAAACCAATTGGGTCATGCATGAATATCGTTTAGAAGGGAAATATTCTACATACAATCTTCCCAAAACAGCCAAGGTAAAAAAAAAAAAAATCATTGCTCTGTTTTCCTTTGTTTGCTCTGGCTTTTACTCCTTTTTCTTGGTAATGTTCATTCACTCTTCTTTTCTTCTTGCTTTGCAGAACGAGTGGGTTATTTGTAGAGTATTCCAAAAGAGCCTTGGTGGAAAAAAAATACATGTTGCGGGATTTACAAGGTTGAGTTCTTCGGGGAACGATTTACCTCCTTCGGTATTGCCTCCATTAATGGATTCCTCACCACACAACAGCGAAGCAAGAACTTTTGCTGGCGAGACATCTTACGTGACCTCCTTCTCCGATCCCATGGAGGAACAGAAAACACCAGAAGAAATGATCGATAGCTTCAACACTGGTTTTCTAGCTTCTTCATCGTCCTCTCATATGTCCCTTACTTCAGTTCTTATGTCTAAAACCTCTCTGCCAAACCCTGCATACACCAACCAAATCATTCCAAACATTGAAAACTTGCAATTCTCAGATTCTTTTTGGATGCAAGATCACTCTATATTGAAGACGTTACTCGACAGTCCTGGATGGCGCTCAAAGCAGAATTCAAAAGCAGAGTTCTCCCAGGATTCAGTTATATCGAACCCTGAAATGATTCAAGATCCGTCATCCTTTGCTGGACCAGTAGTAGACTTTGATTGCCTCTGGACTTACTAAATTTAGAGATAAAAAAAAAAAAAAAAAAAAGTCAAGAGCTCAAAATGAATTAAAGATTTTCAAGAATATTATTGTCATAAAAGTTCATGTGTGTATAGGCTGTTGAGTTCACATTAGTAGGAAAGTAAAGAAAATGAATGTGTTGTAAACTATAATGCACAAGCTTTATTTGTTTATTGAATGTCTTGGAATGTTTCATGTTCTCAAAAATATTAAGATTTTGAGTTTATGAATTTGATAACCCTATTATCATGTCTTAATGCTTTGCCCTTTTTGGTAGCTTAGTTAGCAACTCTATCTTTCCTTCTTTCCCTGGATTGTCACATTTAGGGCCACCAACCAATAGTTCATCAATGATTAAGGATAAATGACAAAATGCTCTAATAACATAGCGTGTCAACGACATAATTTTAAAGCTTTTTTATTCGAAATTGATAGAATTTAAATCATAATCATTAAAATTAAAAGTTTAATACTCAATCGATAGATCTCATATTCCTTAATAATTTTGGTTTTGTTGGATTTAATTAACTGCACTTAGCTATTCAGCTCAATCAAATGAGTCAACAGCATTCATTTTGCCTCATGAAATTCATGTATGCAAAATCTCTAACCTCATAAACTTGCAGAACTAGTGCCCACAAAAGGTTATCTCAATGGCATTGTTTCTTTTGGTTTGAGCCATTATTTTGGCCTACGGCTGTTAACCAGGGTAGGCTACCTGCAAAACTGTACTTTTTGTTGGATAAGATCAGATATCTTTCAAGTGTACTTTTTGTCTGAGAAAGAAGACATACTAAGCTGATATAGTTGAATTCTTCCAATTGAGAGGATGATAAAGCACAGTGAATAGACTCCAAATGTCTGAAGTAGCACTATTCAGTAGGGTGCCCTGGAGCATAGTGCTTTGTACTCTAGTTAGGTATTCAATGTACCTAAATATGTCAACTAAGCAGATATAACTGTTAAATTAAATCAAGATTTATATTTATATTTATTTTATTTATTATAAATAATATTTATTAAAATTTATTTTATTAGCTAATTTTTTAGAGTTTTAATATAAAATATATTAATTTATTTAGATTTTGTAAGAGATTAACAGAATGAGAGGTTCTAAGGCTTAGAAAGATTGACTGTGGCTTATTTATAATCATTGTACCTTAAGTTTGTGTGTGAGTATGGCTCAAGAAAATATCTGTGAAATCCAATTGAGATAAATAAAAATTGTGTGATCATACACTAGCTGATAGCCTCTATTAAAATTATTATTCAGATAATTTATCATATTAATAAAATTATTTTTGTTTGATGTTTATGTGATTATAACAATAAACAATGCCAAAAAAAATTCTTAATTGTAGAAATTCTAATTAAATTTATCAATTTATGTATTTTATCATATAAAATATTAATAATTCATATATTTATATCATAAAAATTATATATTACAATTCGTATCGATATAAAAATATAAAAATATATTTTTAATTTTTATTAAAATATTAAATTAAATTATTTTTATATTATATTTTAAATTATCAAATTTAATTTTAAAGCCAAACCTGCATGATATATTCATCATTCTGCAGAACTGATATCAGAAATCAAAAATCCAAAAAGAGGGGGAGGAGTGCTTGAACATTGAAAAGCGAAAGCTAACAGCTCCACCAAAATTAATAAAATATTAGGATGATCAACAGTAAATTATCTTTAAAAAAAGTCTTTACAGTGAAGGCAAACAGAATCTGTCATATCATATTTGCATGGAACTGACTTTATGGTAATCAATTACCCCTGAAACGTTGCTGTCATTACTTTTTTTTATTTCCATGCCAAGTGATTCAAATAGTTTTTTGCCATAGACATTCTATAATGCTTCCAAGTAAACTGATGGCTATTATGAAAAGAAACAAAAAACCAGGTACATTTCACATGAAAATTACCATTTTTTCCTCTTCCAAATGATATCTTAACCACCACTTTCTTTAATCTTCATCACTACCTTTTTTCACGCTTTGACATTGATACATAAGATAAAATTAAATTATTTTATTTTAAAATTTATATAATTCAAATTATTAATATAAAACGTATAATAGAGTATATAAATTTAATTTTATAAATTAAAAATAATTTTTTTATTTTGAAAAAATTAATTTATGTCAAAAAAATAATTAATCATTCTTACAGTTCTATCTCTTTTTTTTTTAAATATGAATAAAAATTATGTAAAATAATTATTATTTTATCTTATATATCAAACGTGACATATATTTGTTTGACAAAATAAATGTGATATATAATATACACTTTATATTCTAATAATTTTATAAAAAATTTGAACTTAAGATTTAATTTGGTTCTTCAAATAATCACTTTTAAAAGACGACATTCAATGAATCTGAATGTGATCTCTCTCTTGTTTTTAGACTCCAATCTCCTGTTATAAAAAAAAATTTTAAATCGAATAAAAAAAAAATATTTCGTTTGATATAAGCTAATTGATGTAAAGAATTTTATAGCTATAGCTAACGTGATGAAAACGATCTCTTAGTCCATGCCTAAAAATGAGTAACAATGTCAAGTCAACAATTCAAATAATATCCTTAAAATACTAAATAAAATTGATCTCAATTCACCCACACGATTAAATCTTTTAATTCCTATAGTTTATAAGTCTTGCACGTAAATGTAAATTAAACAAAGATTTTTTTATTTTTAAATTATTTTACTAATTAATTAAGTGGATAACTTTAATTTAGAGTCAAATTCAAGCTTTGTCTTTATGTTTAAGGAACAAACAAAAGTTTAGCATTTAAGTTTGGGACCCTTCCTTAACTAGGTATTTGAATAAAATAGTCCTACTCGTTTATCTTTTATTGTGTTTTTTTTTTTTTGTTACATCAGGAGGATAAAGTTCTAATACAAGTAAAAAAAATAAGAGATTTAATTCGAAACTAGACCCTTATATCTTCTCAAACGCCTTTAACCATTAGGCTAAAGGCTTACGGACATTTGTCTCTTATTATTTCATTAATTGGTTAATATTTTTAATGGGTTCTTGGTTTTATTGGCCTATTTTTTTAGAGGTAAATGGTTACTTGATTTTATCCAATATTTTTTTTCAAATTATTTCAAATAAGTTTATTAATATTGAATTTAGCGAATTTATGATAAATTATTTTTCATATCATCTAAACGGATTCGAATTTATGAGAAAAGCACACTTTTTTTGTTACTTAAGCCAAATATCCATTGATGTTATTCATGTAATCTTTTAACTCTACCACAAATGAGCTAAAAAATTGATGGTTATATTTTGTTTTATTAAATATTAATGTTGTTTGAAGAACTTAACCTAACTAGTAATTTTCTTATATTATTAAAAGTGATATCATTTATGGCTAAAAAATAAAATAATTTGTCCAAGATGGATAATAGCATTCAAAACAAAATTTTTTTTAGTCGTTTCATACAATCCTTGTTGTTTACTATATACTGATTACGACTTTGAAGCAGATTCAATTTTAATTAAGAATTTAATTTTCAAATTCTTAGGATTAGGTCAAAATTATAGCCATAACAAACCCATGAAGATATTAATTCCAACAGGCTAAAAGCATATGATGTGAAATTTAATTTTTCATCAATAAGTGATTGATTTAATTGATTAAGATTCATCTTTTTCAAAAAAAAAATTTTGGGTTCAAATTCTATTAGTGATAGTTTATTAGAGTCATCTCAAATGTACGATTCTAATTACTTAGGTATTATATATTTTACTTTGATTTGAGTGATTAAGCAATTTATCTGTCTTTAATTTTTTTTATAAAAAAAAAAATCCAATTTTTTTTTTTTTGTGTATGTGGTTACTAGGGATGGATAAGTTCACTAACTAAACAGTGCAAACCAAAGTTAAAAACCAAAATTTCATGTTCAAAAGCTCCAAACTTGTGGGGCATAGGAACAAAATGAGGTGGGGGAAACATAGTTAGGCAGGAAACGTGAAGGTTGAAGATGAAGAACAAGGAGAACCACTACAAATGACTGAAACGTGATACGACGTTTCAGGTTTTGCTTGCATCAGCATTTTCATTGGCTCAGCTGATTGGTTATCTTTTGGACCGCCCTCTACACGTCATGCTTTTGCATTCTTATGACTGTTTAGACACGTCATGATTAATTTTATTATTATATAAGAATATATAGAGAGAAAAAAAATTCAATTGGAAAACTTCTAAAAAATTCGAATTTTATGTTAATTTATTATTAGATTTCATTTTAATAATGCACAATAATAGATATTTTTATAATTTAGATTGGATTGAATCAAAGTCAAATTCAAGTCTAATCAACTCATTCTCCATCAGGTAATTAGGCCGGTGTCTAAGAAATTAAAAACAATTGAATTTGTTGGGTGAATTTTATTTTCTTTGTTAGATTTTCATGCAAAATGCACTGAACCTTTTTCCTTTTTTGTTCTTAAATGATAAGGCTTGTTATTATAAAGGCTAAAATCCAAATTTGGTTTTATCAACACTACTATAGAGTTGTAGTAAAAAATTTTGAATTATTGTTTTCATTTATAGCAAGCCTACGCAGCGTTTGGCTTTGGCTTTGGCTTCAAACCTTCTTTATACATGTTGGATTGGGCTTAGACTGAAACAATAAGGCTTGATAAAATTTTTTTGGTTGAGTCTTGATTGATTTTTAAGATTAGAGCTCAATTATATTCTTTGTTGTATTATATTTTAGGATTTATATTTGATATATTCTTAATATATAAATTTTATAAATAATCAATGCATTGAATGTTATTAACTCATTAATTCATAAATTTAAAAAAAATTAAGAGTCCTTAAAAAATCAAAATGAAAAAGAAAATTCAATTAAATAATTTTGGCATCAATGAAATGGAGATTTAAGGTGGGTATCCCCATTGTTCTTTCCCACCCCATCCCAATCTTCAATCCCCAAATGGACCCTTGCCTTTGCTCAATAGGAGCCCCCCTCACCCCACACTCCATCTCTCTTCATGCGCCAAGACATATATCCCTATAAACTTTAACCCTATTTGTAAGGAAATTTTATTAGTTACTACATATTGCAAATGGAATTGGAGCTTGGCTCACCATCATTACTATTATTATTTTTTTACAAACACATTTTTAAAGGGTTATGGTCAACATCTACCCTTTATTTCACCGAAACCTAATTAATTGTGTTAATGCATATTATAAAATCAACTATATATGCCACCGTCCCTAGGTAGGGCATTGAAATTTATATTAGGAGTATTTAAAAAAAAAACTTATATTAGGAGAGTTAATCCACACTTACCTAAAGAAGTATGCTTAAATTTTCTTAATAGTTTTTTTTTCTAATTAGATAATTAGGGCAAGCAATTTTTTTAATCATCATATCCAAAGTATAAAATTGTTTTCCATTATAGCTATGAGTTAGATATATTATTTAAGGCAATAAATTCATCAACAATTTCACAAAAATAAAGTTCATAATTATGTCTTCAATAATTTTGGCTAATATTTTCCTACATTATTAGACTTATAGTAGTCATTTTTAGGGCGATGAATTTTTTTTTTTTTTCCGAAAGAGACCATAGTTTGAGGATGAAAGAAGGAATTACAAGTGCTAGGATTTGAATTTTAAATTTATTAGATATTTTTTTTTCAAAATGATTATATGAACAAACAAAGTGATGATTTGTTACTAACCCACTAGCTAGCTTATATACATAAATGCTAAGCCAAGAAGGCAAAAAAAAAAAAAAAAAAGAAAAGAAAAGAATTAATTAAAGCTCAAAAAAGTAGATGTCTCTCATACTATTATTTCTACTTGCAAACCTAATATTTGATATTTAGAATGGGACCAAACGAATACATAAGCAGGAACATATATTAAATGAGACAACTTCCCATGAGAGATCTATAGGTATTTACATACAATCCTTTCTCCACCAGCTTTTAGCAAACCAGAAAAAAAAAAAAAAAAAAAAAAAAAAAAAAAAAACCCTAACTGATCTGCCTATGAAAACTCTGGCTCCTTCATTTTGGCATGGAGTAGCCAGTTTTCAACAGTTGATAGTTTCTGCTTTTAATAATGAGCAGTCAGCAGAAAAATTCACATTTCCAAAAGGAAAAAGGCATGGATTTACTCTAATTTTTGCTAGGTTGGTCCAAAAGTAAATACCCTAAATCTCCAAAACAGTTAAAATCTACTTTTTTTTTCCCCGAAGTAGGGTTCTATAGCTTGAATCCTACCTTGAGGTCAAGTTAAATTTCCATAATAGTCAATATTCTTTGATTCATAATTATATTTACTATGCAAATTTATTCAAGGACTTCAAAATGAGATTAGAATATCTCTTATAAATTTCACCATGAGTAGGTTATAATAATCTTTATTCTAGTTCTAATTAGTATTCAACTTTATAAGCTAATTAATGCAGCTTCAAAAAGAGGAAAAAATTTTGAAAGGAAAAGTCACCATCACCATGAGTAATGTAGTTAAAAAAAATTTGAGACTAAAAACCCCTACCCTTTACTATCCTTTTGTTTTGTTAATTGTGAGGACCAAAAAATTTTCAAAAATCCTTTTGGGGTTTGGGATTTTCTTTTGTTCTGTAAACATATTATTAAGATGCGTGAAGTTTAATTATCGCCCGAAGTTGATTGGCTTCACGGTGGGGAATGTTGGGGCAGAGTCCTTCGGATCAAAGTTTATATGTAATATTATTAGTAACGATATTTTAGAATTTTTGCACATATAATTTAATTATTTTAATTATATTTATACATATTGTTATAATATATAGATTTGTATATTTATAGCTAAATATAACTTAAAAGAGTCATTATCAATTTTTTTTATTTAGATATAATTGATCACTTAATTAATTTATATCTTTAAGGATTTTTTAAGTTTGACTAAAAGTCTCTAAAAAATAAGTTTTGATCTATTAATCAGAATAAGATTTGAGAGTTTGATTATATATGAAGAAGGTTATAGCATCCCATAAAGCCCATATAGAGATGGTACTATTTAATCTTAAATTATTTTAAGGATCTTATGGTTCTAATGATCTTTTAAATTTTACTATTTAAATACTGAAAGAAAAATTTAAGATTTTTTAATTAATCTGACAGAATTTTTAAAAATATTTTCTCATATCAACGGTATTCGAAAATCTCATTTATTTTTCTTGAAGAGATTTCGTCATAAAAAAAAAAGACTTAACCATTTTTTTTTCTTAAACTTTGCTTTTATTAAAATTATATCTAATTCTTCTACCGTTTGTATCAAAATTATAAATACTTTTTTACCTAAAATTTTTTATATAATTATCCATTTGTAATTATTAAGAATTTCATACTGAATCTTATTCTTTATCTCTAAATTTTTCATAATTTAAGTCAAAATTATAAATATCCTGTTTCTATTTATTCATCATTTATTTTTTAAAAAGTAAATAATATAACAATTACTTTTTGAAGTCTAAACTAAATTTTTCCACAATTTGCATTGAATTTAGAAAAAACTTTTCACCTAAAAATCTCATAGAAATTCAAAATTTGTGATTTCCCTTGAAATATCATCATTGGATAATTGTCATACATTTTCAAACAAATTTACAAGTTATGGTTTTACTTCTTAGTTTGGAGAAGAATGCAATTACATTTATTGAATTTTTTCTAAATTATTCCATCATTTTGATTAAATTTAGATAAATTCTTTACTTAGAAATTTCTTAAAAAATTTATTATTTGAAATTTCTACGAATTTTATCATTGGAATAATTGTTAATTCATTTTAAAAAATTTTATTAAATTTATTTAGATTTTTTATTTTTAAATTTGAAAATAAATATTAATTATTCTTATAGAAACTTTATCTAAAATTTTCTTCTATTTAGGTCAAATTTTTTAAAAAAATTTCACCTAAAAATTTTTAAAAAATTAACCATTTATAATTTATAAAATTTTTATTATTAAATAATTATTACTTATTCTCAAACTTTTATTGAAGTTTTATTTTATATTTTTTAATGATTTAGAACAAACTTCTAATAATTTTCCTAAAAATTAAATCATGCAAAATATTTTAAAAATAAATAAATGACAAAACAAATTAAAATAAATAAATAAATAAAAATCATAAAATTATAAAAAAAAATCGGCTCAGCTTGGTTGCAGAAACAACCGGCGGTTGAAATGGTTCAATCCTAGATTCTGCTTCATCGGCTTAACAACAACTCAAAAAAGACGGGTTGCGGGACAAAACGTTACAAATAAGTTCAAGTATTTAGGGCGACACACGAATCCTGAAAGTTTTATGACCAAAACAACATTGTTTCTTGTTAATATATAAAGTCTCAATTGTCTTTGTTCCTTCATATCATTTCTGTCCTTTTGATTTTAAGTTGTCAGTTTTTGCAAAACTTGGTCGAAAAGTTTAACGGTTTTGGGAGATATCTTTAAGTACTGAAAAATATTATCGGAATCTTATTGGAAGTTAGAAAAGCACATCGAAAAATTTAAATTTTTAAATTTGATCGAAAACTTCAACTAAAATCTAGATTTTCCCAACAAAATTTTCAGAAACTTTGAAAAAATGTCACTAATCACCAATTTAAACCTTCTGGATCTTTTCCTAACACTGTTCACTCCAAATTAACTCAAATCAACAAGTCCCACAAAAAACAAATTTCTCCCAATTAGCAACCTCTTTGCGAAACTTTTTTTTTTTTTTTGATTGTTTCTGTGATTCCCTCCATAATTTCTGTGTGTTCTTGTCTATTTATAAGTAGAGAATCTCAGCTCAACTAATATTTCAATTGGGATTGGATTCTTAAAAAAAATCCAACTTATCACCGGATTAACAATTTTTTTATCCCCAAGAAAAATCTTTTATTAACATTTATCATTTAAGAGCATAAATCCAATCCAACCTCAACCGGCCAATCCCTCATCCAAATAATTTCTAGCCTTTGATTTTTAATTTTCTGTTTTCTCTTTTTTTTTTTTTTATGATATTTTCCCTTCTTTTTCAAAACCTAATCAAATAATACTTAAAAATAAAAAACAATAATAAAGATAAATAAATAAAAGTTAGATAAAAAAACCAATAATTAAATAATAAATAACTAAATAATAATAAGATATATAAAAATAGATAAATCAAGGATAAATATCATAAAATAATAAAATATAAAACCTAACAACAAAATTAACAAAGGAAATATAAAATAGAAAACTGAGTGGGATTGGTTTGGGTTTGAGATGTCTATACATACACAAAAGATCACTAGTCATTTGTAATCATCTTTTATCATAATGAAAAATCTATAACAATTGCAAGTGAACGTAACTTTCACATTAGAAGTGAACGATTATAAATGTCGTATATTTTTATTTTTTTATATTTATTTTATTAGCTTTTTTTGAAAATAGTATTAGATCTTTAAGTCAAACACATACATGGAATATTTTTTTTGAATGCCCTATGGATAAAGTAAAGCTGCATGAATGGCGAAGCAATGCTAATCAAATGGTGGATTTTAATTTCTTCTGTCATGTGACTCTAGCATATATATGTGCATATGTATATGTACTCTGATAAAAAAATTAACTTTTCTCTATCCCATTTATTTCGCTGACCTTTCTTCTCTGGTCATCTCTTCATTTACAAACACAAGTAATTACTTCCTCTCCACCTCTCGGTACTCCCTTATCTCTTCATTAGTTTCTTAATTTTATGTTGTGTAAGTTGTTATATAAAGAGAGAACCAACTTTCTTCTTTCTTTGCTGATTTTTCAATAAATACCCAATGGGGAGACCACCTTGCTGTGACAAAGTGGGGTTGAAGAAAGGACCATGGACACCTGAAGAAGATCAGAAGCTCTTAGCTTGCATTGAAGAACTTGGTCATGGAAGCTGGAGTGCCTTGCCCACGAAAGCCGGTGACTAAACCTAACCTTAATTTCCTTGGTTACTTCTAGTACAAGCTACTCCATTTTCATTCCTCAATCCTCATTTGTTCTTCAAGTTCAGCTCAAATTTTTTTTATTGGTCTCATTGTTTTTTAGGTCTTCAAAGATGTGGAAAGAGCTGCAGGCTTAGATGGACCAATTATCTAAGACCTGATATTAAGAGAGGAAATTTTAGTTTGCAAGAAGAAGAAACTATTATTCAACTCCATGCCCTTTTAGGGAATAGGTAATAGTTCATCATAATGTTACAAAGCCAGTTTTCTGATCTTGGGTGTTCTCAATTTCTCAAAGCTAGTTTTTCCAAATTTGTTTGTGAAATTCAAGCTCAAATTTCCTGCACTCAGTAACACATTTTTTTTATATAATGGCCACGCACTGTTACTCTCAAGTCCGAACTGCCGCTCTATCCTATCACTATAATACTTTTTTTACTTTTCTGTTTTGCTTTTGACCCTGCAGATTTTAAATAAAATTGTAGTCTCTGCCATTTGCAATAAGTTGCTGCTTTTCTTGACATCTGATTTTAATAGAATGGTAACTTTAAATGCAAAATGGTCTTCAATTCTTCATTAAAATGAAATAGTAGCTCATACATTTTATTATTTAATTTTTCACTTGTTCTTGTCTATCTCATCAATCTTTTTTTTTCTTTCTTGTCTTTAGATGACTGAAAGTCTGAAACATTGAAAAATGCTTGGTAGTAGTTGACGTTTTCTAGGATCGATTTTATGAAAGAGTTCTATCTCTATTATGTCTTTGTTTGTTTTGTCTTCAGGTGGTCTGCTATAGCCACTCACTTGCCAAAGAGAACAGATAATGAAATAAAAAACTACTGGAACACTCATCTTAAGAAAAGGTTAGCTAAAATGGGGATTGATCCAATCACTCACAAGCCAAAAACTGATGCTTTACTCTCCATTGATGGTCAATCCAAGAAAGCAGCAAACCTTAGCCATATGGCTCAGTGGGAATGTGCTAGGCTTGAAGCTGAAGCTAGATTGGTTAGCGAATCAAAGATGCGTTCACATTCACTTCAACATCAGCTCAACCCTCCAGGTTTTGCTCCTTCAGGTTCAGCTTCGGCTGCTCAGCTTGTGAATAAGACAGCTTGGAATAGTACTACAGGTATTGGTGGTGTTTTAAACACTGGACTTGATGCTGCTGGTGACCTTGAGTCTCATACATCCAGTCTTACATTCTCAGAGAATGCACCGCCGATCATGAGTACAGGGCTTGGAGTGAGTTCAATGCCAATGGTTGAGTTTGTTGGCACTACTTCAGGTTCAGCCGAGACTGGAATCATCAAAGAAGAAGGTGAACAAGATTGGAAAGGCCTTGGAAGTTCAACTAATTTGCCTGATTACAAAGAGGGTATGGAGATTAATTCTTTATCATTCACTTCTAGCCTTCATGATATGACAATTTCCATGGAAGGAGGATGGACTCCAGAGTCTTTAAGGCCAAATAGCAGTCAAGTTAATGTTGGAAATATAAATGATTCTATCGATCGGAGTTTATCAGATAATGGCAAAGAATCTGATGAAAACAGTGGAGGCGGTGGTGATGGCAGTGATTACGATGAAGATAACAAGAATTACTGGAACAGCATTCTTAATTTGGTAAATTCTTCTCCATCAGATTCACCAATGTTCTAAACAAGTTGATCATAACTACAACCCTTAGCCTAAATCATAGAGCCATTAATCATATTTTCCAATTGTTCTTAAGCAGTCCAAATACCAGCAGCTGATACATATTTTTCTCCCACAATTCAAGTATGCACAACAGCTTTGACAACCCCCCTCACTTTCTGCCTTTCTTCAAAATGAAATATTGATAGCTTTTCAATTTTAATTAGTCCTGTTGCAGATGATAGACTTTTAACATGTCTGAGTGCAATTCAATGACATTTCAGTTTGTAATTTTTTGTTTCATTTTTATCCTTGTAGTAATTTAATTCTCATCATCAATGGAGGGTCTAGGAAATAGTCCAATGGAAGTTATTACTCATCATTTTACCCTCAAAGTTCATGTTTAGATATAGGCAAAGTTCAAGAAATGAAGAGATATGCATTTATGACAAACTTTATTGCTGGTAGTTTCAGGTCACATTCTGCTAATAAGAAAGAAAATTTCTTGATATCTCTTTCTTTTCCTGTTAGCTTGGTTGGTAGAATTTACAAAAATCATGAGAAATGAAACCAAAGTTAACTCAAATGATCAAATAGTTAGTTTTCCTGCAGAGCTGATATTTTCTTGTAAAATGAACAGAAAGACTTTCTCATCAGAAGAATTTGCAAATTAATTAATATTTACTGTTAGCGTTCGGTTTTGATATACTACCGATAGAAATTTTTAACTTCACGAACGAGATAAAAATAATTTTTATTTTTCAACCGGATCATTTTTTTTTTCCCCAATGTATTTCAAAGGATTCTCTTTCCATTGATGTGGGATCACAAATTTGAAATTAATGCCTGGATATTGCCTTCTCATCATTGAATTTAACAAATTAAAAAAAAAAAAAATTGTAAATGGCTTATATTAATTAGCCTAAATTCTAAAACTATAAACATGGACCCTATATTGGGACAAGTCGTGGACCATATGCAGTAGTGTTGTCCATATCTCCAAGTACTTGTCTTAATTATTTCTTGTTTTCTCTCCTTTTTTTTTTTTCCCTCTTCTTCTAGCCTGAGAAATATCTTTCATATGCTTTGATCTTTTAGTAAAATAAAAATTACAAATTAAAAGTCTCGAATTCGATACGTGCACTCAGCTGTAACTATCAAACCAATGAAATCATTAAAAATAAGAACAAAGCAAAGAACAAATTTACAGGTAACATTGATTGTTCTCAAAACCAAGTTTCCAACACTGTTTTTTTTTTTTTTTTTTTTTAACTTTTAAAGCAGAGGTATTTTATGTCGAAATGCCTAGCTCACAGTGACCTCAGCTTTCAGTCTCATCACTAGTTCAGGCATATTAATGGTGGAAACAAAGGATGACCCATTTTTCCAAGTTTTAAAGTGAATTGAATTCAAACTTTGATAAATGATATGGGGCCGGGGTACATCTTTTGGATAGAAATTTGCAGTTTGTTATATTAATTTATATCAGGAAACAATGCAGTACATGTTTCTAGACAATTGGTTCAAAGGCTTTGTTCAACAAATCAATTAATATAATATAAAGTTTTTGAAATGGTAGCTCATAAAAGCATCTTTGGTTGGTGCATTGTTTTTTTTTTTTGGGCTAACGGTACTTTGTTAAATCAATTACATACTAAAAAAAGCAAAATTTAGAAAGCCTTGATTTATGTCTAAATAAAATTTTGTGGTAAATTATGCATCAAATTTAAAACTTATTGAAAGTTCAACCATAATATCTTGTATCGTACATGAATTCTTGATAGGTTATTAGATACGAATACATCTTGTTCGAAAATATTTCAACAATAAACTTTTTTATTATAATGTTACAATTATTTAATTATAATAAAAAATGATGTAAGGATCCATTATTTATAAGAGTAGACTTCACATAATATTTTGATAAACTCTACATAATTATAAAATCTTATTGATTAATTGTAATACTATTATCATAGGTGATATACTCTCGTTTCAAACACAGATACATAATTTTTCAATTATTTTTTATTTTAATTTTTAGGATTCAAGCATTGTACCTGTATGAATTTACAGTGTTCAAAAAGTGCTACAAAAGTATATGTTATAGGTAAAATGAAGAGTCTATCTAACACAGATAAGAACCCTAATCTTCAAAACCTATCCTTTGATGAAATCCAGCCAGCCTTAGAGAAGGAGCTTAGAGCAAATAGGATCTATTGATTATTTATATTAATCTCCCACATCTAATAATCCTTGGTGTAACCACCAAAAACACTTTCCAGACTATGTTGGCTGGCACCTTGACTCAAATTGAAAGCTTCAACATTCTTCATGGAATTAAAAAAGGAAAAAAAAAATGCACCAAAAAGATCATTTTCCAAGTGTTAGGATCTGTTTTGATGAGATATGAAAATTGAAATCCATTAATATAAGATAGATGTGTTGAAAAACAATCACCAGAAAAAGTAAGTCATACAAAGATATGGATAGCAGACTTAAGTCTTAAAAAAAAAATGATAATTTGCAAGAAAAAGCTGCTACATAAAATCTGCAGAAACATTTCACGAATTTCACAAGAAGTTTACGTTAAGTCTTGCCTATATTTATATATTATCTTAGTAAAAGTTTTTTAATTTAAAATAATTATTTTCAAGATTTATTAAATAGAAAATTTTATTAATTTATACTTCTAAAAATTAAAAAAAAAAATTGGCACTTCCGAGGGAAATTTTATTAGTCCCACTTCAAACTAAAACTAATTAAAGATGAAGTGTTATGAACTTAGGGAATTATGGGCTTAAAGTAGTTGGGTTTGCTCATTACAATCCAATTTCGCCGTAACTTGCCCATACAAAGACCCATATTAGGCAAGACAATACCTAGGATCACAAGTACTACTTGGTACTTACTACATGTACTTATTCATCGACAAGTAATTGGTTTAATCGGTTAAGATTATTTTCTTCGATAAAAAGGTATTGAGTTTGAATTATACCGGTAGCCATTTATTAGGGTCATCTCGAATGCACGACCTGCAGCCACTTATTTTAGACTATCAAATACGGCACATCTTACTCTGACTTGGAGAACTGAACGACCTATTTACCTTTGGATTTCTTTTAACAAAAAAAAATGTATTTATTCATTTCTTCGAACCAATACTTAATTCAACTAGAAAAAAAATACTTGTCTATTGTTGCGGGTATTTTTTTTTTGTTATTTTAATTTATTGTATTTTTTAAAAAAAATTGATTTAATTAAAAAATAAAAAAACAAAAGATAAAAAGTAAATTGAAATGATAAGTGGATATCTTAATTGGTTTCGTTATTTTATAAATTTATTCAATAAAAAAAATACATACCAAAAAATTAAAAATATTAAAAATGAAAAAAAAAAACTCATGGATGTGGTGTCACATTAACATCTTATATCGAATTTAAAATATTAATTTATTAAATTAAAAAAATAATTTTATTAATATAATGTACATTTGTATAAAATTAAATAAATAATAAAATATAAATTTATATTTATATTTATATTTTGAAATAACTTAAGACAAAGCATCCTAAATATGCTTATAATTCGAGCTTTTTTTTTTTTTTTTAAATTCAACCCATCTTGAGGTTTATTGTTTTAAAAGACAAAGCACCCATTCGATTTACCTCAAGGTAAAATAATATATAAATATTTAAAAAGAAAAAAAATAAATAATGATAAAAAAAGAAAAACAAAAAAAAATAAAAAGAAAATAACTTGACACATAATATATTCTTGAAATTAGTGAGACAAAAAAATTTTTAATCTAAAAAAATAATAAATAATAAAAAAAGTAAACACACGGCATACCTTAAGTATCAAATGAATTTTATAAAAATAAATAAATTTAAAATCTTGAAAAAAATGTATAAAGAAAACAAAAAAAAGTTTGGTGTAAAGTGAGTGTCACTTTAAAAAAAATAAAATTTATAAAGATATTTTTTAAATATTAAAAAATTTGACAAAAATAGGAAAAAAAAAAGCAAGGGAAAAGGCCAAAAAAAAGTGACACATAGCTTGAATTTTGGTAACGTGCTGTTGTCAATAAATTACTAAAATTTAAGTAAAGATTGATTTATACAATTATTTTAAAGATGTAACATGTAATGTGTGAGATTTAAATTTCAACATTCATAATTCTTTTATTTTTATCTCCAAATTATAGCCTCCTTTGTATCGAAATTTTACATATCTTCTTAAAATCTTAAAAAAAAAAAAAAAGAAAATGTAAATACTTAACTTTACATAAACGCACCTTTAAGCTGGTTTGTTGACAGAGTAAAAAAAAAAAAAAAAAACAAAATGTAACCTATAAATTACAATCTATAATTATTTATAAAAATAATTATGATTTACAATCTATAATTAATTTAAAAAGAACATAATGAGTGATAAAGGTGAAATCAAATTCTTTGTAATGCCGCATGATTACATTATTAAAAAAAGAAGTCAACTATTTATTATAAAATAACTAATAAATTTATTGAAATAAATATTCATCATTTAATTTATTATATGTGATGATTAATAAATGATTGATTTTTTTCAATAATATGATTATGTAACATAATTTAAATAAAAATATATATATTAACTTGACGTAATCGTTTCATATAATAATATGATTAAGTGATATGATTTGGATGAAAAATACATATGTTGATTTGGTATTTCATACAATTTCTTTTTTTTTTTTTTTTTTGATATCCAGTGCCCCGTCAAAATTCACCTTGATGTTTGAAGTTCACTACCTTGATTTTTGTTTTTTACATCTGCTTCAGCATATTCCCTTAAATAAGTTTCAGCAAAAGTTGCAATCTCTTGCGAGTTTCTTCTTCTTTTTCCATGGAGCTCCTTGTTTCTATCATTCCATATGGCCCATGTCATGACCATGAAGGTTTGTAACTCTTTTTGGTTGAAGGAAAGCCATGAATGTGTTAACCAATTTGCAGCATTACGTCCACCTAATGACAATGGCGTTAAAC